TGACGAAATCTGCCCATTTCCTGCCAATTAAAGAATCTTACAAGATGGAGAGATTGACGCGTTTATACATTCGAGAGATCGTGAGACTCCACGGAATACCAACATCTATCATCTCGGATAGGGACAGTAGGTTCACGTCACGATTTTGGCAATCACTCCATAAGGCGATGGGAACAAACCTCGACATGAGCACCGCTTATCATCCACAAACGGATGGTCAAAGCGAGCGAACCATCCAAACGCTCGAAGACATGCTCCGCATGCGTGATAGACTTTGGAAAGTCTTGGGATACCCACCTACCCTTAGTCGAGTTCTCATATAACAATAGTTATCATTCGAGCATCAAGGTGGCTCCTTTCGAAGCACTGTACGGGCGTAAGTGTAGATCACCATTATGTTGGGCCGAGGTAGGTGACACCCAGCTAGCAAAAACACATACGTCGACAAAGCACTAACGGGACCGGAGATCATTCGTGAAACCACGGAAAAGATCGTTCAAATCAGAGCTCGATTGCAAGCATCGCGTGACCGACAAAAGAGCTACGCTGATAAACGGCGAAAGCCCTTAGAATTTCAGGTCGGTGATCGAGTACTGTTAAAAGTCTCGCCCTGGAAAGGAGTTATTCGTTTTGGGAAGCGGGGAAAACTAAATCCACGATACATTGGACCTTTCGAAATCGTCGCCCGAATAGGTCCGGTAGCATACAGACTGCAACTACCCGCAGAGCTAAACGGTGTACACCCTGTGTTTCATGTCTCTAATCTGAAGAAGTGCCTATCAGATGAAACCCTTGTCATTCCTCTTGAAGAAATCGAAATCAATGAGAATCTCCTGTTCGTTGAGGAACCAATCGAAATCATGGACAGGGAGGTGAAGCGTACTAAGCAAAGTCGCATCCCGATCGTGAAAGTACGGTGGAACGCAAAGCGTGGGCCAGAATTCACGTGGGAACGCGAAGACCAAATGAAGCAGAAGTACCCTCACCTATTCTAGCATTCTCAAATCTAGCTTTCAAACAGAATTTCGGGACGAAATTCCCTCTAACGGGGGGATGATGTCACAACTAGAAATTTTGTGTCTTGTAATCACTACATTCAAGTAAAGGTTGAATCAAAAGCTTAAAAGCATGTGTGATACTTATTTAATGACATCAAAAACTTCAATCAAATACATCATGCAAGTGCTACAAATAGTCAACAACCAATTGGAAACCCTAGAAGTCCTCGTTTAAGTCCATTTTGGACTAGGACTTCCTTATTGGACCCAAATGGACCAATAAGCTTCCAATTTGACTATCATGGGCTCTAATTGGACCCACATTAATTTATTTCAACATTTTGGGCCATATTGGGCCTAGAATGAAATAAATTAAAAGTTTTGAACCATGATTAACTTAAACTAGCCCAACCAAGTGTGAAGATCATATTATATTTCTTTTAGATCAAAACTCATCCAACTTAACTTCTATATGGGCTTGAGGGCTTTAAAGCCCAAATCTTTCCTTTTCCATCCAAATTCTCGGCCCAAGGCCCAAATCCAAGAAGAGAAGAGGAAGGGTTGACTAATGCATGCCACCTCTTTATTATATGGTGGTTATCCATGCATTACCCTCCAAACCTCCATGCCATCTCATTTCTCCATGCAACTCTATCTCTCTCCTTCCCTCTTCTTGTTCGGCCGTGAGTAACACACACACACACACACCTCACAAACTCTCTCTAGATTACTCAAGAAATCCTCCTTCCTCTCCACACAAAAATCTCGAAAATTAGGAGGCTTTCAAGAGGATATTTCCACAAACTCTTCATCTAAGGTAAGGTTATGCTTGGATCTATGACTTAGATTCTTTGTTTTATCAAAACCTCTTCCTAATCCATGCAAAAATCGTGATCTTGCATCCTAGAAAACTCCATAAACTCGAAAACTTCATCAAGGGGGCTAGGGTCAAAAATCACCAAGCTTTCTTCCATCCTTTCTTCAAAAACCGAATCAACATCCAAAGGTGAGCTTCATACCCCCTTGTTTTCGGTTTTTATAAGTTTTGTGGGGGAGAATACAAGCAAAGGTGTAGATCTATCATTATGTGTATGCTTTGTATGATTTCTATGCTTATATGTATGTTTTGTATGATTATGATGTAGATCTAGTTATGAATCACTAAAAACCGAGATATATTTTATGTTAAATGATACTAGCATAAAATATACTACTACATACAAAGTATACCAAGAAAAATAGCTAAGTGGCTTAACAACACTTACTTTGGGCTAAAAACTCATTTTTTTGACATAAAATGTTAAAAATACAAAGTTGAAGGGCCTAAAATGAAATATTTCGAAATCTGATGGGTGAGATGAGTCAAAACAGTTTCCATAATGTATTTTCTGAAAATATACTCTTTTGGAGGATTAAAAACATAAATTTCAAGCTTAATGGGCTAAAAATGACAATTTCGGCCCAATAGGGCCCATTATGCGAAATTTTCTGTTTTGGAGGGCCAAAACTGTGTTTTCTGTAAAACAGTGGACTACTAATGTTACAAGTACTTTTCAAAGGTTTAAAATGCTTTTCAAATTTAAAAAGGACCAAAGTTGCAAAAATTTTCCAATTGGGGCCAAAATTGTAAAAACTGCGAAAAAGAGGGTTATAACCGAGAAAACTGCAATTTCAGGGACTTAAACTGTTTTCAACGAAAAATATGCTGAAAAATATTAATTTCAATATTTTTGGTGTTAAAATGTCAAGAAAAATAGTTTAAGGACTAAACCGGAAATTAATTTACCTAAAGGGGTGAAAAAGTAAATTTACAAAATAAAGAGGGGTTGTAAACAGAAAATTTTCAATGATAATTCAATACACTCGTTGTGAACAAAGACTGACACTACGACTCTTGATGAATTACAATATACAATGTCACCAACAATCGTTATCAAACGAATTGATTCGGTCTCGAATCAATAACAAATCCAAAACTACTAACACTACAACGCTCAATACACATATGGAACTCTCGGAACTCTATACTCTCGTGGAAATTACTCAATACGTCGACGTACACTCCTTAGGCCCAAAAGTTGCAAATCATGCTTGTTGAGCCTAGCTAGCCCAATGACATGATCTTTAGGCCCAAAGGATACTTGCTTACATGTAGTTGGGTCTAATACGACTTAACCGCGTGTAAAAGGACTTTCAATGGCAAACGTGCTGCTGGTCCCCAAGGGTCCTTCGGTGCTGCTAGTAAAGTCGGGAACTCACGATTGCGGGATGGGCTTCGGGCCCTTCGCAATTGCAATGGTCTTGAACGACGTAGGGAAATACCGAGGGTTTCGCACCTTCACTTTTTCTCCTCGGTCGTGGGACTACACAAGTCCGGGAGGATTGAGTTGTGTGAATAAGTGCGAGTGACGCCTAAGGGATCGCTAGTACGGTTGTCAACTGGACGTTTTCATTAACGTACGTTACAACAATTCACCACCCTCTGTATACTCAATGCCTCCGGAGCTCAACGAACACCTCTAACGTAACGAAATAACAACACATAAACTAAGTAAAGCAAAGTGATAGGAAAACGTCGGGTTTTCCTAGGGTTTTCAACTAGTACACTTACGAACTATATGCCGAATTTCACAACTCGTACGCTTACACATATAGAAAACAAACAAGCATACTCACGGATCTTCACATATTTTTTTTACGCTATACTATTTTCAGAAAATATCGGATTTTCTGGTGGTTTTCAAAGTAATACCAACATTGGATTTTAAACATTACTTATGAACTCACCAACATTTCATATGTTGACGTTTTCCAAAATACTTGTATTCTCAGGTAACAGATAAGTGAAGAAAGGACTGTACTCTATGATTGTTTTGCGGTTGTTTAAGTAACAATGAACAATGTATTTTGGGGAATGTAATATTTTGAAACAATGTAACGGATGTAAACACTACCAGTTGTAGTATTCCAATGCTTGGTGATGTATGATGTTATGTTTCATGTATATTCATTGTGATGGTATTCAATTGAGTCACAACAGCCCCCGGACGTTTCCGCCGTCTGGTTCGGGGGTGTGACAAGAAGTTAGCCGACGTGTACGTCTGCGAGATCGTGGCTCGCCATGGGGTTCCGGTCTCCATTGTCTCCGATCAGGATGTTAGGTTTACCTCTCCTTTCTGGTAGAAGTTACACAAGGTGCTGGGCACACGGTTGCACTTTAGCACAATGTTCCATCCGCAGACAGAGAGTTAGAGCGAGCGTACCATTCAGACCCTCGAGGATATGTTGAGGGTGTGCGTCATTGACTTCGGTAAGAGTTGGGATTCCCACCTACCGCTTGCAGAGTTCACCTACAACAACAGCTATCATTCCAGCATTGGCGCCCCGCCTTTCGATCTGTTGTATGGACGGAGATGTCGCACCCCAGTTTGTTGGGGTGAGGTCGGACACAGGGTGATGGGACAGACAGAGGTAGTCTTGTAGACTACCGAGAAGATTCATCAGATTAGGCAGCGACTGTAGACTGCCAAGTGTCGACAAAAGAGTTACGCTGACAAACGTTGATCTGAGTTG